TTCCAGTCCCCTAGGGAAATGGTGGTTGGCGTCTTCTGGCCTCCCATTCTCTTAAATATGTTCAGCAGAGTGGGAAAGGGAAAGAAGGCATTTCCTGTCTTTCCAAGGAAGTGATGAGGCCAAAGACCCAAAGGATCCTTCCTTCTGTGAATGGTTTTGAGGACCACAAAGATTTAGGCATATGGTAGGCAGACGAGAGGAAGAAATAAACACTTCCTTTTTGGCTGCTGCATCTTTTGTAATCTCCTTTCAGGACTAAACAAGTGACTTGAATTTCTTTCAAATATATAGTCAGTAAATTCCTGGATCAGCCTTTAGGCGACCTTTTCCCTGATCGATTTTGCAGCGGACCCTTATTTTTTGATGTGCTCGATTGTCGTGATTTTTTGCTTGGGGAGTCTGCAAATGCAGACTCTCTGCCAAAGGTTCCAGGTGCAGGGATGATAAACCTGGCCACTTCTGTGCTACTGGGAATTCCCTGGTAATGTTAATATTCGGGTTGAGGATGGAGACACAAATGCAAGACAACAGGCCATGTGAAGGAAAGGAAAATGCAACTGTCTTTCGGGAGGACAGCTTCTTAAACACACTGTTCTTAGCATGCTGCTTAATAAGACAATGACTGTGCTGGGATAAAACCAGTTAAAAACTGCCCCACTCAGACCACTGTCTCAGTTTGATTACTTGGCACAGTATCTCATGGGACCCTGGAGATGCTCTGTGCTTCTGTGAGGGCTGTATGGGGAGGGCAGGCTCTTTCCAGGGCCTCTCCCTCTGTGTAGTGCTGTTTGTTTCACATCAGTTGGAACTGACCAGTTTCTGTTTTCGTATGTGGGTTAACCGCGCCCCCTCCCCACTCCTGAGTGGGAGAATGGGACGCCTTCCTCATTCACACAGCAACAAGTCTCTCAAGGAACCCGATGAGCAGTGCGGCTGATGGCGGGAGGTGTTCCTTTGGTTTTTATTTGGGGGGTGGGTGAACTGGAAGAGCTCTTGAGCGAGCACTGGACTGAAAGCCAGGAGAGCTGGATTTAAGTTCCCTGGGGCCACCTCCCCAGAAAGCAGCAAACACTGGTGTCACATTTAAAAGCACAGCCTCAGTGGATCTCCTTGAAAGTGGAGTTAGCATTATGGATGGGCCAGTGCCACCAATCAGCCACAGGCCAGGGGAGTTTCTTGGCTGTTCTGAGGCTCAGGGATGGAGAACCTTCTCACCGAGGCACTCCTCTGTTCCTCAGGCGTCTACTGCTGAGGTATCAGGTGCTGCGTGGAGCTGTTTTCCCCCTTGCGAAATGACACGGATGAATTTTTAAAATCAGGTGAGACCTTCTAGAGGCACTGACAATATGTTGACCTGTCTTTGGCTCTAGGAGAGCAATTATCTAGCAGCTGGTACCTGCAGTACCTGGCTGGTGGACCTGAGGGTAGAAGGCTTCTGACTCTAGTAGCAAATTAGTAATACTTTAAAAAACCAACGAACCCAAGTTTCCAATGGTAACTGATACAAGCCAAATTGGGACCTGCAGGGCTATGGAAGAATCTGTACTTGCTGAAAAGTAGTAAGACCATGGGGGAAATGCCAAACGCAAAGGCTAAGCTGGCCCACGGGGTAAATCACATTGGGGGAAAGCCTGGAAGCTGGCCCTTTCAGGGACTTGCTGTGAAGCCCGAGGCCAACTCCGTTCTGTCTTCGTGCTTTCTCTTCCTGGCCTCGTCTGACAGCTATAAATATAATATAAAATGAAAAACTACCATACTGGTAACGTTATTCCTGCAAACTAGTCACAATGAAACACCAGGGAAAGAGGACAAAATTAAGACATAAGAAAAGCGTGTCTTTCAATGCGGTGTTTTGTCGTGTTTTGGCCAATGTAAAACCCGAAGTCTGGTAAGATCATTGTGGGGCATTAGATTTCCACAATGAAGTTCACTTTCCGAGAAGTATGAGAAATCTGACAAACAAAAGACATTACTGTCTCTGAAGCTCTTGCTGGTTATTCTGAAATAACCGCCTCTGGCAGGGGGGCTCTAAGGCTTCAGCTCTGCAAAAGCTGTGGGCTGTGTGACAGCGCACAGTCCGGCACCTGCACCCCACAAGCCCCCTCCCGCACGCCACTCTGACAACTTGGTTATAACCATGGAAATAATGACCATACCTCCTCAGCCAGCAGGGTCTGGAAGGGCCGAGGAGGCTCATTTTTAAACATTGCACTTTAAAAATTGGAAACCGTGAGATGAAGAAAAATTCAATTAAGCGGAAATGAGTTTTGTTTTATTGCCTGCTGCTGAAGGGCTCTGGGCATGCTGAAAGCTAAATAAAAAGCACATCACTGGCTCTCTCTTTCTTGGATTGGTCAATTGGCCCTTTTTGCAGTAGTTGCTCCAACTGCTCTCACACGGTGACTGGAGCCAAAAAGAGAGAGCGCAGCAAAGTCATCCCATCCACACACTGCTTGGTAGGACCACACCGAAAGCACACTTTCACGCTGCTAGCTCTGGTGAGGAGTCAGCTGCAGGTCTGGGAGGCGCGCCAAGCATCCCTTCGCCTCGGGAGACAGAGCACAGGTGGACAGAGCAGGACACGCCCACACCCATCTGCTGCCCACCTAGAGACAAGAGTCATTTGTACGTTCCCCTCTTGAGGACTGTGTTTAGCTAAACATGCAGGTTCAGGGCTGCAGGCTCCCAGAAGCTGCTCTGAACTTGCATTCAGACCTCAAAGCCCCAGATCCCCTAAGCTCTGGATTGTTGCCCTTACCCTTCGCAGTGTAAATTTTGTACAGTTAAAAAGAAATGAAGTCTCATTTCCTGGGGGAAAAAAAAAAGAAAAAGAAAAAAAAAAAGGGACCCGACCCACTCATTCTTATTTATTGCCATGTGACTCTGGAACACAGAAGCTGGTGCGTTTGTTTGTATGTGCCTCCTGTGTGTTGGCATGAGATGTGTATGGTAAAACTATGTCAAATAAATATGGAACTTCTTTAGAAGCCAGTGTGTCTTGCTTTTCATTTGCTTTTCTGGAAGGTTTTTCTCTTGACATAACTGAATAAAAAGGCTGTGCTGACATGGGATTTTTTTCACCACCAGAAGGAAACCCAAGATACAACTCTGAATGCAAAACTACTTACAACCATGCATACCGGTACCATCCAGTAAAGGGCTGGGTAGAGGACGTTCTCTGATTTTTCTGATACCAGTGTGATGGAGCCCAGTCCTCTGCTTCTACACTTAGGGCGTGGGCAGAGGAGACTCGCCGGTCACATCCATTTTTTTTTTTCAGTTTGTCCGGTTGCATTTTAAAGTTCTTCATATGCATACATTTTCTCTTTAGAGAAAGTAGCTGCAAATGTCTGTACTCGGGTGAGAGATGGACAGAGGACTAGAAATACCTCTTCGGTGTCATCAGGGCTCCTGGACAAGCTTTTCTAGGAAAATCTCCATTCAGGATTTTTCTCTGCAGGACGCTTTATTAGTGTGCAGGGCCTGAAGTTTGGCTAGAATGGAAAGAGCAACAGTTTCTTTTATTAAAAAAAAAGTTAAAAGCCACAGCATTTCTTTAGAACTGAGATTCCATATAGAAAAAACCTAGTGCTTTTTCCACTAGTGATTAGTTCTTTTTGGTTAAAGAGAAGATCCAGACAGAGGCGCACTGACCAGTAAGGTAGCTATTAGCCACAGGGGGCTATTTAAATTTAAATTTGATTAGATAAAATTATTTCCTCACACCAGCCATAGTTTAAGTGCTCCACAGCTGCGTGTGGCTAGTGGCTGCTGTGTCAGGTCACAGATACAAAACATTTCTACCACGGCAGAAAGTTCTGTTGGACAGTGCTGGCTGAAGAGAACGGGCAGAGACAACTCATTCGTCACCTGTTTAAACACCAGTCATCTTGGAGCAGCTGGTGAAGTATTCTTAGATTCTGTAGGCAGTGGTAGCACCAACTTCTCTGCCATCGTACTCGGTGTGTGTG